GATGGGGGGGGGGGTACCTGGACAAGCAGGGATGGGAAGGAGAGAATGCTGAGGAATGTGTGAGCGAAGACCCCGAGCAAAATCAGGCGAAGACAGAGCCGGCTGTGAGTCGTGTGGTGCTCTGTATGGGCCTCAGAGCTCTCCCGGAAGCCAGCTTTGTCCGGGGAGGTTTTCAGAGAGGGAGGTGATGTGTCTGGGGAGAAAGGGAGTCAGGTGAAGATGCCCCCTGCCGTCAAGATCAAATTTAAGCCCTTCCTTCTGAGAGGGTCCAGAAACTGTCAGCTTATTTTACTTTCAAGTGTAAGGGACCGGTGAGGGGGAGACCAGAGGCTTTCTCTTCCAAAAGGGACTGAAAAGAAACCTATTTGGCACTGAACTTCACTTCTTGTCTGTTTCATTGAATCACTCGGTCAACCTTTCTCTCCCTAGGACCAGCTGCCCCGGAAACATGAGTTCTCAGCAGCAGAAGCAGCCCTGCACCCTACCCCCTCAGCTGCAGCAGCACCAGGTGAAGCAGCCTTGCCAGCCTCCACCCCAGGAACCCTGTGTCCCCAAAACCAAGGAGCCCTGCCAGCCCAAGGTGCCTGAGCCATGCCAACCCAAAGTGCCGGAGCCCTGCCAGCCCAAGGTGCCAGAGCCCTGCCAGCCCAAGGTTCCACAGCCCTGCCAACCCAAGGTGCCTGAGCCCTGCCAGCCCAAGGTGCCTGAGCCATGCCAACCCAAGGTGCCGGAGCCCTGCCAGCCCAAGGTACCTGAGCCCTGTCAGTCCAAGGTTCCACAGCCCTGCCAACCCAAGGTGCCTGAGCCCTGCCAGACAAAACAGAAGTGATGTGATCCACAGCCACACCCATGAAGAACCAGCCCCCGATGCTGAATCCCTTATCCCTTTCTGCTTCTCAGTCCCACTTTCCTCCCGCCTTTGCAATCACCACGCTGTCAGTGTGAGTCATCCCTCCTCCCCTTACACTCACTCTGGAGGGTTCCCAAGCCTCTGAAGAAGGCTGGCATGCTCACTGGTTGAACTGGTCTCCTAGCTGCTCAGCACGCGTCTGGAGAGGGGACTTGGGCGGGATCAAGCAAGTCTTCCTGTTCTGTCTCCATTAAATGACTGTTAACCCCACACCTGGCTCCATGTGTGTGTGTGTGTGGCTGGTGCACACTCCTAACTGCGCAGTGGTTAAGGTCACCAAGGGTCATTTTCTTTGGGTGGCCACAGCTAGGGCAGGGTTTTCTTCTCTCAGCTGAGCCACACCCAGGGGTCAATGGGCCCTGCTTCAGCCTAGCTCTAACTCGGAGTCTTTGCCCCCAAATTACCCTGGCTCTTTTCATCAGACTCCTTTTTAAAAGTTGTTCCAAAGGAATAGTACTGGCTTATATTTCAACCTGTTAATCGCTCATTT